ATGACGTTTATAGAGAACAATGCTTTGCAGGGGCTCACCTTGCTGTGAGACAGCCAGCAATTTTAGGAGAATGTTCTGGCCATTGTATAGCTGTTGTACTGCTACTTGAAGTCTCCCTTTTCTCAGGTGAGCCACAGCAGTCACATCCTCAGCATGCTGTGGCGGCTGTCAGGCTGCTCCTCTGGAGCCAAGTGAAATGGAGTTCGCATCCTGCACTTAAAAAAAAATCTCCCCTTCCTTCAGTCCCCTAAAAAAATTGTTGTACACGATTTTCAGACAGAGAACAGATGGGACAAATGTGCAGACAGCCACTGTGCAGCACTGTGATGTCTTGCCTCTTACCCTTAGCAGAGTTGTAGTATTTGTGTTGGATATTAGGACTGTGCTTCTTTTGGACTGGGACTTCATCATCCGGATGTGCCAGCTCGGGTTGATCACATGACATCTGTTTTCCTTTCCACTACGCACTGAATGAGTATCTGTCAATGCACTGTTGTGTTTGTCCCTTTGTCAGCATGGTAACCAGTTGGGTTTTTGCCTTACACTCAACTTTAAGGCTGTTACCAGCCTTTCATGCATTCTTGTACAGGCCGATAATGAAACAAGTTTAATGTTAAAAAACCAAACAAAACCAAAATGCCCAACTCCAAGCCTGATTTTTCTGAGCTAATGGAGGTCAGCTTATAACTGGAGCATCACATTCAAAAAGGAACAAAGAGAGCAGATGTTATTACTGTGATGATGCATCCTGCTTCCAGCTGTAGCAGAGCAATCCCCACTTGCCTGCCTTCAAGTTCTGCTCACAGAGCTGTCACCCAGTCCCTGTTGTCTCTCTTGCCTCCCTGCTCCAGTTTTTGTTTTTCTCCCTTCCCATTTTGTTTACCTCTTGTCCCACCCTCCCATTTCCCAATCTCTTTGCCTCTGGCACTCTCAGAACCACAGCTCCCGGAGTGCTGATTAATCTCTTTACATTAATAAGTCTCAGGTTCAATAGCAGGGGTTGGAACTCTATCAGGCATTGGAGAAGACTCTGACCTTCATCCTGGACTGCCTCAGCCTAACTCAAACAATCCAGAAAGGAGGAGGTGCAGTTCATTTAGTGCTTCCTACCTGTTAACCTGGATGGTTCACTTCAGAACCATAACAATTTCTGTAACCCTACATTTGAGCCGTCTCGTGACGCTTATTATTTTAGACACCATGGCATGTTTACTGGAATGAGATCATGGAGGAAACCAAGACATCTGCACAAAGGTGGTGCATGTTTACAAACAGTTTTGTTGCACAAAATCTCTGAAACATGGTCTAAACATTAGTGAAATGAAACCAAAATATATAATCAGATATTTAATGAATACAGATGCAAAATCTAATTTTTAAATTGCAGTGAGCGGATCTCACTCCATAGAAATACCAGCAGTGGGAACCATATGGAACTTTTATACTTTCTCAGTAATAGTATATCCCTAAGTTCCTCATTTCACCAGTTCAGCTGCAGAATTCTTAGATAAATGTATGTGCATCTGTTTTTCTCTGTGTAATTGACCGTTTCATCTGGAATCTGAAGATGTGCTGTTGGTGGTCTTTGGCAAGCTGGCTGGTTGTGTCCTGCTCTGCAACATGGAGAAAAGACTCTATTTGTGGTCTAGTTTGTTGTCTTTAAGTTAAGCAACAGAAGATTTCAATCTCTCATGGACCTTTTGAGCTGACTTTATCTTAACAGAGCAGCCATTGGTTTGAAGCGGAATTGTCTTAACGTATTTATTTCTTCAGCAAGAGAATTGCTGGGCTGGATGTCAGGGCACTACTGCTCCTTTCTGACATCAACTGCATGAAAGAAATAGCATGAATTAACAACGCTGTAGGTTATCTAATACAGGAGTATTTTTTTATTGCTCTGGAACAGAGACTATGTATGCCAGGGAGATATACATTTTAAATGAGTATATGCTTTCTAAAATTAATCCAGTGTATGACCTCTGTTGATCCTGACTCAGTGCCAGCTATATTTGAGCTGGTGTCAGCAATATTGATGCCATATTTATCAAGAGCTGACAGACAAGATGCGATGATCACGGTGCTTTTAGGTAGCAGTAGTGATTGAGCTGGTTTAGAAGCAGGAAGTGTAGATGCAGGCTCAGCATTTTGCTGCTCATCCTTAGTGTTCTGCTGCTGCTTAAACCTTTCCCTGTTACAGCATCTGCTGTGAGACTAGCTGTCAAGGAGGCCCAGGGAGAGACAATTGGTCAAACATTTCTGACTGGTTCTTTTTATCCACTTCTCCCAACCCTTGGTGAAAAATCACTCTATTGTTTGCTGTGGAGCTGGTTCTCAGATGTTAGACTGAGTTTTACACTCCAAGAAAGTTACTGCTGTCAACCACCCATCAGATGGTAAAAGCTGCTTGGGCAGGGGTAAGTCTTGTTACCAGAACAAAAATTATTTAACTTGATGGTTTAATAAATCTGGTAATAAATAGTAAGTGAGAGAAAACTCACATACTGGAAAAAAAAAAATTCTCTACCTTGAAAAACTTTTAGACTGTTTAAAGCTTTATTTCCTTGTATTGAATTTGGGGGCCGTATCCAAACAGCAGAAAACATGACTAGTTAATGACAAACAGTAACTTAAACAACGGCAAATGACAAACAGTAACTTAAATTCATAGGCCAGAATAACTAATCAGCAAATGCTATGTCTAGAGATTTTTTTCTCTCTATTATCTGGAGTTGTTATCTGTGTGGTTTTTATTGTTTTGAGAAATGAAAGAAATCAAGGTGATTCTTAAAGACATATTGTGTCCTGGTCTGAACTGGATAAAGTGCTTGCTGACCTTGAAGCCTGCTATGTTTTTGCTCCAAAGATAAGCTTGCCTGCTTCTTTGCATACACCTCAAGAGTATTGTAGAAAAGACCCAAAACTCACAAGAAATATGACACACTCCATGAAAAACAAATAGAGGTAACATAGTTCTTTAAGGTGGACTTCTAAAAAGAAAGTTAAGCTAGTTTACAAGCTCTCCTCTTCCAAACTTACTGTTAGAAGAACAAAATGTTTAGCGAGTATTTGCTTAATGGTATGTAATGGAAATTGTGTCTGTAAATTCCAACATTTTAGCTACATTGTGCTCTGTGTCAGATCGACAGGGTTTTATTTTAGCTGGGACTGAGTTGAAAGCACTTTGGAAATAGTAGGTACCTAATGCAGAAGTTCTCTCCAGGTCTCTACAATGACAGCATTACCTTCTTGGAAAGCCTCTCACAGATATTACATTCTTCATATTCTGTAGCGTTTTAAGAAATAGTGGATTCTCTTTATCTTCAAACAAAGCCAACAGAACTAATGCATGTAACAACTGTGTCTATAACCACCCATTCTGCTTTTTATTTTACTTTTGAAGGGCACTTACATTATGTTTGGACTTGAAGTTTGTAAGCAGGGTGTGAAGTCGATTTTTAGTGACCTAAATAGAGTGCAGCATTGTAATGTCAGTACTTATACATGCTTCAGCCCTCAAGATACCTGTTGCTCACTCTGTTGGACTAAATACAGTATCTTTAGCTTAGTAACATGAGGAATTTTTCCCCTATCGTTCAGTTGTACAAACACCCAAGATTATCTACTTCAGAAGTCAGACTTCCATTGTATAACATACCTGTTCAGAACTGACTAAGAGGTGAAATTTTGATGGGCTTGACCAAAGGTAATTTAGGGACAAGTTTTACAGATGAAAGTTTGCTGTTTGATTTTATTGGGATTGGATTTTACCTGAATGCTTTTAACTCGCCCTCCCACAACCACCCCCCCACCCCCCCCAAGTAATTTGTAGGACTCAGGCTTCAACATAGGTACATAATTCATAGAACATTTGGCAAGAGCGAGCTGTGAATAAATGCAGCAAAGGATGGGGAAATCTAAACTGTAAAAGGCACCTGGATTGTGGTGAGCTGTTCACAGGAACTTTATGCTCTCTGAAAGTGGCATATAGCAAACAAATGTTAAATATTTTAACTCTTGTTATTTAACATGGGTAATAGTAAAACCAGGAGTAATTCATAGAAAGTAGATTCAACTTCAGAAAAAATTTCCAGCAAATCCACAAGGTAATGAGAAAGTATGTTACCCTGACTGTAAGCTCTCCAAGATACTGATGGAGTGATCACTTTAATGGAAAAGCCAGGTCCACACCAGAGTCAGAGGATAGATTGGACCTGGGAGGATCTTGTTCTTCCATTTATAATTCTAATTATTAAGCACATTGTATGTTGTCCATGAGTAGGAAGCCAGTTAGACAAAAGATGCAGCAATACTAAAAGGGCACACGGGGGAGGGAGTTGGAGCAGTGCCTTCTGCCCCTGGGAGAGATCTCTAGCTCTCCTGTGATGGCTGAAATTCTTTCAAACACTTAAAATAATCACCCCATAAGATGATTAAAAAGTCAGGAGAGTTGGGGGAGGGGGTTAAGTAATCAAAGCTGTCAACTGGAAAGGCATAGGTATCCCTCAAAGGAGGGAGGGATTCAATGAAAAGAATAGAATTTTTTTTTTTCTTTTTCAAGTATAGGCAGCATGTATTTAGTTACAGGGCTTTGTAAAACTGTAGTGTACTGGGACTAAGTGCCATGCAGATTTAGGAGAGGCAAGATCTTGTTAAGCTAGCACCATGCACATTTAAGTGGAATTAGGAGAAAGCTGAGAATTTTCTCTTTCTTAGTGGTAAGGTTCTCAGTGAGTTAATTTTTTTTTTAAATACATGGATAACTATTTCAGTGTACTTCATGCATTCTCAGTAGCCATATTTCATATATTTTTTAAAATGTGAAAATCTTCTTTCATAAGCAGGATGCAAGGAAAAAGATTCAAGGTACACAGGAGACAGTTGTTTTCTGGTGAGGTTTCACAGATGTAATTCTTATGCAAGCTAAATCATCCTAACTGTTACCTGCATGTGTTGTTACTACATCAGGAAAATATAATTTGCTGTCTCCTTGTGTGTTTCAGGTCAGCAAATTCCACCCTTAGATCCTCATGAAAATGGTAACAACGGAGCAATCAAACTTGGAAAGCAGACTTCACAGATGGGTAGGCGGTGCTGCTGACCCAACTTGATCTTTTTAGATTTACTTGAAAAACAGCACCATTTGCTTTTTTCACCGAGAAAGGACTTCACGATCTCAGTGATGTGGCTCCTTATCTTGAAAGCAATACTTCCCATGAGCAATAATGCGAGGACCAGAAGCAGAAAGCTTTACTTCAAAGGGATTTTGCAAAACTGAGTTGGAAAATCCTCTCTAATATCCTGTCAAAATTACAATGTCCAAGTACTCCAATTCTCTGTTTAAGCCAATGATTGGTTTGGGGTTTTTTTTAATAAAAAGATCCTTTTATATATAAATTTTAGATTTGCTGCAAAAACTTCTCTTCTTACATTGCAAAGTGGACTTGGCATGTTTTTTAGAGTTTTCTCTGTAATAATAGGGTGAAAAAAAAAACCCCATAAAACCTGAATTTTGGCTTACAGTTTCTCTGCCATCTTTCTAGCTGGACTCTGCTTCTGTATTTTTCTAAATCTGTAGCTTCATCTCATACTTTCAGTAAACATCAGCAAGAAATGGACTGAATTTGCTAACTAGAAAAAAAAAATGGATCCAAAGGACGAGCGAGTGCAATTTTTACAGGCTAGAAGACAAAATCTGTGTCAGGAGGTGCTGTGTATGTGAAAGAAGGAGTTGTCATGAAGGAGACTGCTGGACCCCATGCAGTTCCCAGTCTGCTCCAGAAAGAAGTGAAGATGCAGCCGCTGTGCTTTGCCTGGGTTGATTCCCTTTCCAGGGTGCAGGCTTCATTAATCACTGAAATTGTAAAAAGAACATGAATGCAAGCTTAATCTCCACTACTTACCAGGTTTCCTCCAAATCTGTGTCCCAGACCATAGTTGTCTCTGCTCAAAGATGCCACATCCTTGGTTTCTAAAAGAGAATGCCACACTGCCCTGCTCCTTTGTGGTCTCACTGCAGTGCTCCAAGAAGTCTTCAAGTCAGAAGAATGGTATTTCTATACAAAAAGAGCTTAAGAGAGCACAATATTATTTGGGGGTAAAGGCTGGAATCTAATAAAACAAACCAGAGCGTTTCTTTACAAATGTGATTCTGTGAATTTGTGGAGTAGTCTCCTCACCCACATGGGGATGCAGTATTGAAGACCCATTGCATGATACCTTTGAAGCTTGATGCACTTGAAGATACAGCATAGAAAAAAAAAAATCCAATAGGTGGTTATGAACTAGAAATAATGTAAAACTGTGTGCGTTTTTCCACTTCCATCTTTTATGAGAAGACCCACTGCATGATACCTTTGAAGCTTGATGCACTTGAAGATACGGCATAGAAAAAAAAAAAATCCAATAGGTGGTTATGAACTAGAAATAATGTAAAACTGTGTGCGTTTTTCCACTTCCATCTTTTATGAATGTGTGTGACTGAGATGATAACATATGAATTTATCTTCATAAATTTCATTGGAAATCGGAACTAGGGTAAGAAGGCAGGCTTCAAAACCAAAGCCCAGCCTGCATTCCATGACATTAATTTGTTCTTTTATGAGGAAAATTAACCTCATTGCACATTTGTTGGGAGACTTATGAAAAGCAAACAAAAGGGAAAAACAACTTTCCACAATAAATCATGAACAGGCAGGCTAGAGCTGGGTTTCCGTGTTTATGCATAAAAAACAGACCTTACTGCTTGGTTGTGAGATCGCTTTGATAAAGTGGCACTAAGTATTAGGGCTTGAAACAGAGCCAGATGAAATCAAAAGGAATGTTTCTTTGTCTTCAGAGGTCTTGAAGTAGTTATAGGTGGGAAATGTCCCACCGGATTTTATCTAAGAATCTAAGCTGCATTGTTTTTTCACATGTAATCCATTTCTCAGATATTTTAGACTCCTTTGAAAGCACTCATACTTGAAAATATGTCCTTGGATAATACACAGACTCAGACAGCTACCATGAAAAAGGATATTTCAAGTAAACTTTCAGTTGTCAGCTGTGATGATATATGATCCATGTCACTGCTTCATTGCAGCAACTATTTTACAGATAATCCAGGGTTATTTAAGTGAAAATTCAGCAATCATCATTGTTGATAGCTGGGGAGGGAGACAGGCTGCTTTAGGGAACATTTCATCCCATCCTAGTACAAGCAAGTCTGCCATGGGTGCCTGGCTCTTCCAGCTGGCTATGGAGGGAAAGGTTAACCTGGCCTTCAGCGCTAAAGAAACACCAAACTTATCAACATCACAGATTGATATCATTTATGGGATCTATGACCCAGTGCTGCGAGAGATGTGGTTCAGCCTAAATAAAACCCAGTAAAAGGCTAGACCTGTTGCCAAGAAAACAAGGTGAGATTGAACCCACTTTTTTAAAGGTGTCATGAATTTTAGTTCAACATATAATAGTTATGCGTAACTGATTTTTAAGCTTTCATAAATCTTTGTGGCATATTTCTTTCTTGTTTTTAATGTGACATCTCGAAACTCATCAAACCCTACTTGAGACATCTGAAAGTTTTGTAAGACAAATCTGCAAGTACCTTGTATACTCCGATTTATACAGTAACTGGCAATTGATGCTGATCTGTATGGAATAGATATTGTTTTGAACAGCAGCTCTCACAGCTGCCATTGAGCTGTATGTGAATCAGAACAGGTTTATGAGTTATATGTTAAAACAGTTTAAAATTGGAAGTTGTTACAATGGATCTCTGTCTGGCAGATTTTAAAATTCAAATGCTGGCTAAGTAGGCTCAAAGATATTTTTGCATTTGTTGGGCCAAATCTAAGTCACCTTATCCTGCTTTTAGTCAAGAAAAAGATTTAAATGAATAAGGATTCTGATTTATAAGTTCTTGAGATTTGGGTTACAGTGAGCTTCAATAAGGAACTCTGAAGTCACAGGTGAAAAAATAACGGGCCACTGTGCTGTGCAAGAGCAGCTCACATTTTTTTTAAGACAGGGCTCGCCTTCAGCGATGATGTTGCCTCTCTGCTGTTTGTCAAAGCTAAAGCGCAGCTTTAACTTGCCTCTTCAAATGGGGGAACGGTTTGTTTTAAAAATTGAGATTTTCAAATGTAAAATTCATGATTTCTGCTTCCTTTTGTTGCCTGTGTTGCTTGGAAAGTACCACCACCCTTCATAAACAGCCAGGAAAATTACGTAGAAAAAAACCCCAAACTCAGAGTCAAAAGTTTCAGCAGCAACCAGAATTCCTCTTAGTAGTTAACAGCTGGTGAAAAGTTAAATTACTGTACAGGAGCACCTGACTCGGTAGCTGATCTGCTCTAATAATAATAAGAATAATAATAATGCTGCCGTTCTAGGTTGGCCAGCTGGTGCTGGATTTGTCCAAGATTGGTTTTCTCAAGAGAGCGGGCAGCCGGACTGAAGCACAGGCTGCAGTGGCAAGGATGTTTGGTGGAGTTGTTTGCACCGTGACTCAAGACTGACTGTCCAGTTGTGGGTGACTTGCTTTTCTGGCTTGTCATGAACTAGTTTAAAAACAAGATTATGAAGGAATTAGTTTTCATATATGCTCTGCATATGTGTGTGTATATAAAGTACAGTTTTATATTGTTATGCTGACATGTAGTGGTTTTTTACTATGTCTGGTTCTGATATACTGCACATTGTATTCTGTAAGTACATTTTTTTGTTAATGGTCATTTCACCGTTGTGAACGTAAAGTTACGGATGAAAGGTAGCAAGAAGATGGAGATACACACAGGTACAATTGCTGACTCGCCATTCTTATGTATGAAAATGGCATATTATAGAAAAAGTTTGTCTTGCAGACTGAGAAACCTAAGAAATGCCATTATTATCCAAGAATTGGGACTCAGAAGTAATAAAGTTATACTCAAAAAAAAAAAGAAAAGAAAAAAAAAGATTATTTTTGTTCATGGTACAGCAGGTCTATCTGAAGTGCTTCAATGTAACATGGGTTTGTATCAATACCTGGAAAAGTTACCTATCATCCCTTATCTTCACTAATCCTTCATGGCATGTGGTAATAAGCGTGACTAGATAGGTTATACATGTGAGCACTCTGGCTATAATGAGACCTTCTCAGTACAGTGATGATATATTTTACTATCCTACCCTTAATTATTTAAACCAGAGTCAGTGATAAATTTTAAGTTTAAAATCACCTGCTAAGTACTATTCCTCTGTTTTGTTTATATAAGGGCTTTGACTGGGCTGGACCCACTCGCTTCATGTATGGGATGCTGCAATCTGTTAATACTTTACCTTCTGTTTTACATATTAATTGTATCATACCTAATAATATTTTTTTCCCTAAAATGTAGGTTTTGTGGTTTATTTAACCTACAATGATTAATGCTAATAAATGTTTTAAATACCTCTGATTTGGGGATGTCTCTGGTTTCAATAAAGCAGAACAAAATAGGTCCCATTTTTCACGTCATTGGCTCTTGAAAAAGGGCTGTCTGCAGTCTGTGGATTGCTTACCTTGGATTTAAATGCCACTTCAAACGTGTGTGGCTGGCCTTTTAGCAGAAACTGAATGTATTCCTGCGGGATCCTGCAGCGCAGGTGAACTTTCAAAAAACAGAAAAAGATTATCTGAAAATCCCATTGCTAAGTTATTTGATTTATCCATTGGAAGAGAGGTACCTGAGTGGCCAATATCAGCTTGGAAATTTAGAGTAGTAGCTGTTAGTAGAAAGTGGGCTTACAATTACCACTTACTTTGAATAGCAACCATGACTACTATGGCTCATAAGACACTTTCTCTTTTGTATGTATTTATTTTGGTGGTACATTTTTTTTTCCCCCCTACTTTATCTCCCTCAAACTTGTCTTTAGGACTTAAGAATTAACACTCCCTTAAGAAGGATGCAGTGTTTCATACCTCTTAGTGCTATTGTTTCAAGAGGTCTTTAAACTCACTGGAAGCTTTTTTGCACTGTCTGGTTCATATTTTCAAAGTTCTTACCACAACTATGAGGACTATGAATAAAGGGTTGGGTTTTTTTAAGGAAAAACAGGTTTTTGGAGTAAGGCTTTTTTAACTACCATGATAAATTCAACGCACACCAGTACACAAAAA